GGCAGGGTCGCGGCTAATCTAATCCAATTACATCCACGCAGCAGCGCAGCGGGCTGCTTTCCAACGGCGCGTCCGTCGCTCTGTCTCTGTCGCTCGCGGGCCGGCACGACGGGGTGCGAGAGAGACGGGGCGAGAACGCGCAGAGCGGAATCGGGCCTACCAACACCGCGCTTCGGTTCGCGGTTCGCCAGAGGACAGTGCAGCGCGGGGCGGGGCGGGGCGGGGCGGGGCGGGGCGGGGCGGGGCGGGGCAGGGCGGGGTCGCACCTGTCCCACTCCGCGAGGCCGACAAGCCGAACTGCACTGCAGACTGATTCCGAGAGTCGCTCTCGTCGCTCTGTCTCACTCGCACTTATACGGGACCCCCAATGAGTACGAGAGAGGCCGAGCGACGAAAACGACTCTCGGAATCAGTCTGCTCGGCAAGCCGGGAGACAAATAATGATAGTCGTCTCGAGTCGCGCATCCCGCACGGTGCGTGCAGACTTGCGTGCTCACGCGCGTGCGTGCAAGCGCGCCACCACGCCCCGTCCCGTCCCGTCTGGCCGGCGGCACCGCGGCGGTTTCACGCTCCGGACTGCTTGCCTTTCCTGCGATTCATCCCGCGGCGTCTCTCTCGCACGCCCCATAGCACGCCCCGCGAGTGCGAGAGAGACGGAGCGTGCATCAATAACGCGAGAAGCCACGCTGCGCTCCGCTCCGGCGGCAGGGCCCGGCATGGCCGGCAGCATGGCGCTGTGGACCGTCATCATATTCCAGCTTCCGGCCGAACCTGCCCGGCCTGCCTGCTACACTGTCGGGAAACGAAACGAAAACGAAAACGGGGCGCCCGCCCAGGACGAGGACGCATTCGGCCGGACGTGACGTCACCGTCACGCGCGTGCGTGTCACGTGTGTCACGTGCGCCGCTCGTGTCCGCGTGCACCGCCATGGCGTGCTTGCAGCGCTTGCATAGCGCGGCCCCGAAGGGCTTCGCGTGTCCCCGCCGCGTGCAGTCCGTTCCGTCGCTCTGTCGCCGTCGCACTCATGGGGCGTCCCGCGGGCTGCAGGGGCGCGAGAGAGACAGGAGGCACGCTTGGCACAGCGCGCCGACCGGCTGCGTTTGACTTGTGCAGTTCCTGTCAGAGGCAGCCCCGGGCCCTGGCCGCACACCGCCCGCTCCGTGCTTGGTTCGTCGGAGACGCGCTTGCCTCACGTGTACACTCGCGCACGCCGTGCCACACACACTCGTCGACGCCCCCAACGCAAACCGACCGCGGCTGACTTGAAAGTCGGGTATTATTTGTCCCCTTGACGTCACCGCGCCGCGCCTGCGAAGCAGTCTGGCCGGCCCCGCGTCCAATCCATCCGATCCGAGCCGATGATCGTCGACGCGGTGCTCGACGTGCTCGACGCGGTGCTCTGCCGGCCGCGCGGCTCGGCGGCGACATTCCAGCGCGATGACTCGCGTGCGGCGGCGCGGCGCTCCGCCGGCCCGTAGACTCATTCCGAGAGTCGTTTTGGTCGCTCTGTCCCTCTCGCTCCTTTCCGGAACGCCCCGTGAGAGCGAGAGAGACAGGGCGCCGACGCTGGAGGCTCACACGCCGTGAAGCCTCACATTACATTCTCCAGCCGCGCTGTTGTCATCGAGCTGGACGCTCCAGCGAATTCCAGCGCCAAGACGCGGCGACGCGGCCTGGACCTACTCACCGCAAACGGCGGCCGATGATTACCAACTCTCATTTAGGTGGGGAAGGGGAAGGGGAAGCACACCGCGGAGTGGTGCCACCTCGTTCCGTATGCCGAGCGCGTACGCGACGCCAGGCGACGCCCACACGGCGGGGCAGGAGGCGGGCTGCGCCAAGCCCTGGCCAAGCCCTGGCCAAGCCCCCACCTCGGCGTCCTCGGCGTTTATCCAATACTTCTTTGTCGTTAGTTTGTTTGGCCGTCGCTGCATGCCCTGCGTGCCTCGGGGCGTTTGACGGCGACTACAGGTACGGGGCGGCGGGCCGGGCGTTGGGGTCAGGCGAGGGCACGCGGGCCAAGAGGGGTGGCCGGCGGGGCGCGCCCCCCACCCCGTGCTTGTCGGGATTCAGACGAACACTCTACTTTACACACACGCAGCGGCAGGGCGTGGGGCCGGGACCGCCAAAGAACACCCTGCAGGCCTGCAGGTAGTACCTCCCGCGCGGCGCGGCGTGGCGCGGTGGTAAGCCCTTGTAAAACGCCTCGGACGCTGCGCTGCCTGCGCTGCCGCCGCCGTCGTGGATTATGCCACAGCCTCGGCCCGCCGCGCCGCCACGCCGCCACGCCCCGCGAGTACTTCCGCCTGCTACACTGCAGCGGGCACGCAGAGGCACGCACCACCGTCTCTCTGCTCCACGACGGCGCGTGCACTGTGTGCAGCCCGCACGGCCTGCACGCGCAGACGGCCCAGCTGAGCGATTCCGCACAGTGCCTCGTCGCTCTGTCTCACTCGCACCCCTGTGGAGCCATGCGGAGCCACGCGGAGCGCCCCATGAGTGCGAGGAGGACAGGGCGACAGGAGGGCGACGCCCAGCCTTCAGCAGCCCGCGAAGAGGGCAGGCCGGCTGACGCAGGCTGACGTGCCGAAAGCATTTTTCTTCAACCGCCAGTCGACGCCCACCTCCGCGAGGACGCCGTCCACGTCCTCGGGGCCCGCCTGCCCGCCTGCAGGCTCATTCCGAACGAGTCGCTGTCTCGGCCGCACCCCTGCGGAACGCCGCATGCATGCGAGTGAGACAGATCGACGGAGCGCCGCTCCAAAAACAGCCTGCAGGCGGGACAGGCGGGGCGGGGACTTTCTCTGGCGTTTTCGCTTGCGACTGCGCTTAGCGAGGCGCGGCGCGCGCGGCGCCGGCCGCCCTACAAGCGCCACGCCAAGTCAGGCGCTTCTTTCAGCGTGCTTCGACCGTCACTCACGTGTCACGTGGCAGGCCACGCCACGCCGGGCCACGCCCCCGACTCCGGCCGCTACGCCACTGGAACCTCGCAGCCCACAGCGGCCCGCCGCGCCATACCCGAATCAAGTCAATAACAATAACAATTCGCAAGCAACGCAAAGCAAGGCGAGCCGAAGCACAGCCAGCCTTGGAACCGGTCTGGTGCAGGGCGGGGCGGGCAGGGCAGGGGTACCTGGCAGGGGCCTGGAGTCCGCCGTCACTGGACGCCGAGCCAAACCAAACCGCAGCCGCAGCCTGCCGGGCTCCTTGACTTTTCCACGTGCGAAACTCTCCGGCAGGGTAGGCCGGCCGGCCGATGCAAACTAGATGATAGGGCCGCCCGAGCGGCGCGGGGCCCGGGGCAAGGCGGGGCGGTTCACAATGCGCCCCGCCACGCCCCGCCACGCCACGCCGGGACCCCCGTTCACAGAGGAATGTACTCGGCCTGCAAGCCAAGCTTCGCGCGGCGCATCTCCTCCTTTTGTTTTTCGCTAGCGTCGCTAGCCTGCCCGGCCTGCTCCCAGGGTACCTTGGTGCCCGGGCGTACCGGGCGTACCGGGCGTACACACCGCGCACACACATGCACGGGGGGGGCGGAGTGGCCGCGTGATGAACGAGGCTGCGGCCTGCAGCACGGCAGCGAAGGGCAGCGCCCATAAACCTGGACGGGACGGGGCTCCAGCCGCGGTTCCAGAGGCCGAGGAGGCCGAGGGAGACCTCTGGACGGTCCGTCTCTATAGCGAGTGGCGACATTTACTGCCACACGACGCCGCGGAGCGCGGAGCCCGGCGGAGCCGCAAGACTCGACCATCCTCCCAGTCATTAGTCGCCTTGGGGACGAGGACCGCTTTAATAACGCCCCGCCCCGCCCCGCCCCGCCACGCCACAGAGGTTGCAGACGGTCGAAAGGGTACTACCACGGGTACCACTCCACCGCCTCGTCCTTAGGCGAGTCATTCAAGTGTCTCGCCTTGCCGCCACGCCGCGCCACGCCACGCGCGGGCCTACTCTCGGCCCCAGCCCCGGCAGCCGGGCAGTGCCGGGCATGGGTCGGTCGCGTGGAAGGGAAAATAAGAAGACAACCAAGAGCGTCTTCGATCCGACCCCGGCCCGGCCGGCCGAACCAAAGGCATAGGCTCGTCCCCCCCTTCCCTCAGAAAATAAAAGACATGATAAAAAATAAAAATGAAACTGTCACGGGATGCACCACATTCCGGCGACGCGCTGTGACAACGTCATGAATGATAATGCTGCATCAGAAAGTAATTCATCGAAATGAATTACCGTTTCAAGATCCCGCTGCCTTCAATGTCATTACCTTGAGGCTCCCTTTCTCAAGATCATCTGTGATAAGATAAGGTCCTCTGTGATAATGTACCATACCTAAAGGTTTCTTGTCTTGAACCTTAAGCCTAACATACCCTGCCTTTAAGTCTCCAGCCATGAGGTCTTAAGAATTAAGTATCCCCTCCTTAAAGAGATGCGTTTGGATACACGTATTTAATCAGCATCTGCACTAGGTCAATCAACATTTTTCAAAGCTTCCGTCAACCAGTTTTTATACTGATTTTTACAATAGGTTTACTTGTTGCTGCTAAGAGATGCACTGTGATACATTGTAATGCACATTAGATTTTATAACTTAGTATGATAGTCTTCAGAAAAAGATTGAAACAAAAAGGAAGTACAGTGAATAAATACCCAATAAAATAAAAGTTTCCTTCGCAACGACTATGCCCTGTGTTATCATCAGTGCAAAGTGTCTAACCCAGACTCCACACTAACGAAAATAAGATCTCATTCCTGGTACACCTTTGATACATACATAAACAGTAAAACAGATTTGCCTGCTTTGGAGAAAATGGGTGTTTCAATTTTACCATCACAGTTGCATTGAGCATTCAACGAGAAAACACCATCTTGAAAAATACATACAATGCCTAATTTCAGACAAGTAAGGGTTCGGTTTCTGGTTTAACGTGAACAGAGTTTTATCAAATCTCCGTGAAACATTGCCGGAGAGTGGTCGCAAATCGTTGAGAAGCAAACAAATACTAACCTTCGTTCACTCGCCCTCTCTTGGGCATCGACTCCGGAGGCGGTCGCCCGGCTTCCGTAATATCCGCCATGCCGCGTATTTCGCACTGCATCTTGAGACACTAGTTGGAGCGTTCGAAAGGGAAGCGGGGGTGACACCAATTTCTCACTAAACTTCACATGGTCCGACAAGCAGCGACCTAAAGTGACTACATCTGACTCGCCTCGCCTCGGCACAGCGTTCTCTTTGTTTGCCCCATGCCATGAGCTCCCCCACCCCCAACTTCCTCCGACTCGCTGCTTTCTCCCCCCTTCCCCCTTCTCCCTTCTCCCTCCCTTGCTCCCGCCTTCTGGGGGGACTACAGCCAACCGTGCAGTAAGAAAGTGCCTCAGTTTCGGCCGGTAAAAAGCTAACAAAACTTTGAACAAGTTCAAATTTGAACGAAAAATTAAATAACAGTCATACAGCACCATTGGAAGCGTATGTCTCTGAGATCTTTTCAGTTTTTCTCCAGATCTGTTCCAGAAGAATTTTTAGATTGTCTAGTTGGCGCTTCCAGCGTCGTTGCGAGGCTACGTACTCACTAGACCTACAACAAATTTATATCGAAACATCAGAAAGGACGAAGTGCTAAGATATAAATGCATGCTTCATCATGCAAAGAAGTTTTCATTTCAATTCCAATTTTATGTTTTATCCCAAAATGAAAACAATATTTTTCTGAATTTGCTCTCTTGCTTTGTTTTAGATTTGGTTTGGATCGTAAATTTTTCATATTTGCTTAGCCTCGTGACGACGAACGTCCGAACCAACAACGAAAACAAAAGTATCATTGCAGAAGCAGACGAAAGCAGTGTTTAGGTTATGTTTTACTTCCTATTTCGCTAATTATTTTGTGATGCACAGATTGTCATCCCCTGAAACTAGCAGTGGCACGTGAAATCTTGTGGTAGACATCATTCTCAAGGGAGTCAGTGTTTGAACTATAGCGTATTTAGTCAAAAATGACAATAACGGATTATATAAACTCCCTATCCGATAACCCCTACTTTGGGGCCGGATTTGGTCTGTTCACCGTTGGGGCTGCTGGGGCAGTATTACGGAAAGGGTTCCAAGGCGCACAAATATTGTTTCGTCGGCATTGTATGACTACCATGGAAGTTCACTCCCGAGATAAAAGTTATCAATGGGTGTTGCAGTGGATGACAGAAAAAGGAGCTAGGCAAACTCAGCACTTGAGCGTTGAGACAAGTTATGAACAACTAGAGTCGGGACATATTAAAACAAAATACGACTTCATTCCTAGCATTGGCCAGCACTTCTTCCAGTAATTCATTAAAATTTTAATGTTCTCTTGGTTACATTTTTCTCATGGCCAATCTTCTAACTACATTTGTTTTGCAGATATAAGAACACGTGGATTAGAGTTGAGAGGAGTAGAGAGCAGCAGTCAACTATGCTAGACATGCCATTTGAAACTGTTACCTTAACTGCCTTAAGTAGAGATAAAAGTATTTATTTTTCAATTCTTGAAGAAGGTAAAGAAAATTTATAACTGTTTTAAACAGCTGTTCTTGTTTGATATAATCATAAACATACACTCAATGCATCAATTTACCTCCCACAGCTCGGAAACAGGCTTTAAAAAAAGAGGAGGGGAAATTAGTGATGTATACTGCTATGGGATCTGAATGGCGGCCGTTTGGAAATCCAAGACGCAAGCGAGAGTTGGCTTCAGTTGTACTGGACACTGGTGTGGCAGACCGGATTATGAAGGATGTTCAGGAATTTATTGGAAACCCAGCCTGGTATACAGACAGAGGTATGCAATGAGGCACAATTTTTAGAAACGTTTGTTATTGAAGAGCTTTTTCTGAGACATGTATTTATTTTACAGGCATACCTTATCGTCGAGGCTATCTTCTCCATGGACCCCCAGGCTGTGGAAAATCTTCTTTTATTACTGCTCTAGCAAGTGAGCTAGATCTTAGCATTTGTGTACTGAACCTCAGTGAACGATCCCTCACTGACGACAGATTGAATCACCTTCTTGCTGTTGCTCCGCAACAGTCAATCATCTTACTTGAAGACATTGATGCTGCTTTTGTCAGTCGAGCAGATTCCGAAAAAGGTGTGTTCTAATCTAATCTACGCACATTTCTCAGCCAATGTTTACAAACTCAAATATTGTTTTTATTATTATTGTTAACAGTGGCTACAGCTTATGAAGGCTTAAATAGAGTCACTCTTAGTGGTCTTCTAAACTGCCTGGATGGTGTTGCATCAACAGAGGCTCGTATTGTATTTATGACAACAAATCACATAGAAAGGTAGAATCTTAAAAGTAACTTAGAAAGTATTACATCCAGTGCTAATTTATCTCTGTGTTTTTAATTGACTTTGTTGTATTGTTTCAGATTGGATAAAGCTCTGGTCAGACCAGGAAGGGTAGACATGAAAGAGAAGATTGGTCATTGCAGTTCTGATCAGCTCCGTAGAATGTTTTTACGGTTTTACCCTGAAGAATCCACTAGAGCTAAGCAATATGTCGATATTATTACTAAAACTGGAAAACCCATCTCCCCTGCCCAAGTCCAAGGATTATTCATGCTCTTCAAAGATGACCCTGAGGCCGTATTAAAAAATGCACACAATTGGGAAGAAATTCTGTGAGAACTTTGTAAAAAAAAATGATTGTACATATTCAAAAATAAACTTCTAAAAAAAAGGCACCTAGATTTACTCCATATTCCCCACTTCTACAGAAAAACATGAGCACACCTTTCGAAAAATGGCCCGGCTAACGCGCACCCTATCGCCTGGGAGGCAGGCAGCCCATCGTGCACCCTGTCGCCTGGGAGGTAGGCGTCCCAACGTGCATCGCATTTAGGCAGCTCACGATGATGATTGAGGCGTAACTTCACTCGACTGCCTCTGCGTTTTGGCAGGCGAGAATTGTCACTGCAACAGCTTCTCAAATCATACGCCCAGGCTGTTTCTGAAAACACGGAAACTCCGAAAACGCGGGGAGTGCACTTCCCTCTCAAGCTGCGCTGCATCACCCTCACTCACCAAGTCCCTGAATCCCAGCGCGGGGTCGGGCAGGCGCGGCGGGCGGGGCGGGGCCAGTCGACGGGATAACTTCTAAAGAAGGGAGATCAAGATAGAACCTTGTCTATGCCGGTTCCGGTGTCGGTTTCCTGCGAGTGGATTGAACTGGCGGTGACGCCGCGATCTCCCTTCTAGATTCGAATGACTCAGACAGTGGTCTTCTGCGCCCTCAGAGGTGTTACCCGCCCCGCCCCCTTCACTCTCCTTTTCCAAATCGACTTCGACGTGCGCATTCGCCGCGGAGGGTGGGGAGGGGGCATGAATTTGTTCTCGACCTCTGCCGCCTTCAAACGAGGCGTGCATTGACAAGCACTTACCCAAGTGGGCCGTATCGCCAGCAGTGGAAAAAGAGGGGGGGGCAGCACACGCATGTGGCAGGTCCTTTGCAATCTGATACATTGCTGCTTGTTGGAAACGAGAGGGGTTGGGGAGGGAAAGAAAAGCATCACGACTACACGCGGCCTGTAAATGGTGCGATTTAAAACTCATTGGGCGTGCTGCCGTCGCCGGTCGCCCCAGCACCGTCGCCTCGCGCTAAGACGACAGCAATCGCGCGCCCGCACGGTGGTGCGTTTCTTGCTCAAACCTCGAACCTTGGTGACACCTCCAGTGCGGTGAGGTTCGAGGCACACCAGCATCAGGGCAGGGCCAACAAGTGGTCCAGGAGGCCGCGGGTCCCGGCCCCGGTTCGTAGGGCCCGGCCCGGGACGGTGGGCACGGCGCGGCACGGCACGGCACGGCAGCCACACATAAACTGAGCTCGTTATGACGTTTGTCTCAGCCCAGGCGGCCGTGGCAAGCCGCAGGCCGTTCCGGCTGATTTGACTTTACTGCGGATAACGTACGCCCCAGTGCAGTGCCGCCACGGTGCCGCGAGGACCCGAGGACCTGCACGATGAGGGGGGCTCTCCTTTGGGAAAGTGTGAGACTCTTGAGAGGTCGTGATCTCGTGATGATGGACCATCCATACAGCCCGGCCGGGAAGGGCGCTAACTCCGGCGTCGGCCGGGTTGTGTGTTTGTCCGATTGTTTCACACTCGGCGGGCCGGGCCGGGCTAGGCGCCTCGTCCGGGCGTATTGGCCCTGGCCACACACACGTACACACGTACACACGTACACAGGTCGGCCAAATAGAGGCGGCCGCTGGTTCTCACCCTACTAGGCTACTGCAGCCCTGGGACCCCTTTCCCTCCGCAGCGGTCAACGTGTCTGGGAGTGTGGCCTCCGGTTCTCCGCCTCCGGGTCCCCGTCGAAGGACCGCACCGCGCGACACGGGCGCGGGGGGACGGGAATTCGAACGTCGGGAAGGGTTGCGCGGGGCACGAGGCCACTCCAGGTGCGCGGATGTGCGCCGGGCCGCGCCGCTCGCCCAGGTGTGTCGCTTATCACCCCTCCCAGCCCGGCCCTTCACGCGACACGCGAAAAGGAAGCGAACGATGCCTTATCATTGCGTGTTTGTTTGGGCGGCAGGGCCCGGCACGCCGGCTACTCTGGAATACAGGCTCACTGTCGGACTGTCGGCCAACAACACCAGTAGCCCGCTGACCGGACAGTCGCGCCCCGCCCTGCCGGCCAGACGCTCTCGGGGGAGTGCCGAGGTGATCATCAGGGCGGCGCGGGGGCGGCGCGGGACAGAATGCGAGCTGGCCTGGCGGCTTTTCCAAAGGGAAAACCAGAAAAGCGAGCGAGGCCAGGCAGGCCAGGCGAGCGGATGTCATGTAGCCGGCACCACAAAAAAACAGATTATTTATCTAGACGCCGAGCCGCACTGCTCCGCCGGAAAAACGAGGAAAACTCGGAGAGGGCTGCTTAAGTGTAGCGGGGCACGCCACGCCGCCGCGGGGCGGCGGGACGTCGCCGTCGGGGCGTCGGGTGTCAAAGGGCGAAGGGCGGGGCGCGGCCGGCACGCCGCCGCAGCGCGCAGCGCGTCGAGCACGGCGTCGAGCGACCTGTTGCACCGCCGCACCGCGCGCGCTGCCCGCCCTAATTGTTGGTCACTGCATCGCCATCGCCGGCATCGCCGTGCGTGCACTGTAGTGGAGTGCCCCGGGGCCTTTACGACCACGACCGCGACATGGCGGCTTTACTGCCGGCTCGCTCATTGCTTGATTTGGCCGATATGTCATGCCGCCGCCGTGCCGCCGTGCCGCCGTGCCCGTGCCGTGTAAATGCTTTCGCAGTGTGGTATACTCCGTAAAGCTCGGCGGACTCCTCCCGCGCGCGCCGCCGTCGGGGTGCTCCGCTCGCTCCGCTGTCCCGGCCTCCTGATTTGGAAAAATCACTTCGTCGCCGTGTCTCCGTCGCACTCATGGGGAGTCCCGTCGGGGTGCGAGAGAGACGGAGCGAGTTCGGAATCAGACGGCGGCGGCGGGGCCTCCGAGGAGGGGAGGGGCTCGGGGGCTCGGGCAACAAGTGGCGGCTCGGCTTTGCTCCGCAGTGGGGCCCTGCCGCCCTGCCAGGCCGCCTCGCCTTGGCGGACCCTGCCTGCCTGGCCAGTGTGGTGTTTTGCGAGTATCGAATGGTATCGGATGGTCCTCACGACCGAAAAGGACAAAGGACGACTCGTGTATTGGAAACGTAACCATTTATTCGTAAAAAAAAGAAATAAAATAAAAACGTGCACATGTCACAGCTTTACTGTAACGAGTTCTTAAAATATATAACAGTCTTCTTAAAATTAAAATTACATAAGGTAGAACTTTGGATGAAAACAGATCGAGGAAGATAACATGATTAGCCTTAAAAACGAAAAAGACTTCTAGTACCATCTACGTAAATTGGCGAGACAACCTATTCGATGTTCCCGTCACTGCGACTCATTTCCCGGGAGCAAACTGTTTGTTTGGCTTGGCGAAGGCCGTGGCAACATTCTAGTTGCAAGCATAACGTTTGCGAGCCGATATATTATCTGTTCGGATCGTCTGCACGGAGAGATCTGACCTTCACCGCGTTTGCTCAGACACCCAGGGCTCGCCCGCCGCCAAACGACCCCCCCCCCCCCCCCAGCCCTTATCGGAACTGAGAAAATAGAAAGAAGCCAGTTCCAGGAGCTTTGGTTCAGGTCGGCGACCACCCAGGCCGGAGCGAGTTGAGGTTACGCAAAGGGCGAAAAGTTCCTCGTGCGTTTCTCGGGAAACCTCCTTGCTCGGGGCCGGTGCCCCCCCTCCTTGATATCCGACCCCACCCTCCCCCGCCCGCCCCTGTCCACGCATGGCTGACTGAACGCAGACCGCCTTCATTGGCACTAATGCCGCCCAGACATCCCCCCTCCCCTCCCCTCCCCTGCTCCGGATCTGGTACACATCAGCCGGTAAGCCGGTCGAGCGGGGTGCCGTCGTGGACGTCGTGGACGTCGCGGACGTCGTGGACGTCGCGGACGTCGTGGAGGAAGGGGAGGGACACCGCGGCGGTCCGCCACGCCGCCACGCCGCCATGGCCACCGAGGTGTCCGGGAGGAAGGGCGGGCGAAAGGAAACTCTGTTCATCACGCACGACCCCACGCAAATAGCGGTGCCCCCTCCCCTGCCCTCCCCGTTCGCGGCCACGATAAGGCCATCCCCGGCTCCCACGTGCGGTGCGGCGGTGCGTGGTGGTATGTGCTCAGCTGCCGCGCTGCCGCCGTGGAGGCTCCGTGCGCGGCGAGCTCCGTGCCGCCCGCCCCCGCGCTGCGCCATAATCGGACACAAACACCGCCGCTGCTTTGACGCGCACACCAAATGCCACCGAGCGTCGCCTAGCGTCGCCTTGCCGCCCTTCGCCGGCGGCCGGCAGGACTAGAAGCACCCCGTCCACCAGGAGTCCGTCGGCGCCCCGGTGGCCGGAGCGCCCTGCCCCGGCGGCAGGTACGGGTAGAAGTAGGAGTCCGACGGCGTCCTCTCCACCTTGACGGCGGTCGACGGCGGCGGCTGCAGCTCGTGGTACCTGCGGGACAAAACCACTCCATAAATTCCAGCGAAGTCATTGATGCGGCAAATGCTGAAACTCGCGGCGCTTTGTAGGCTTGGCCGCGGGTCACGGGCTCCGCGGGCTCGGGCCAGGCGGACGAGACGAAGGGGAACCCTGCAGCGTGGCAGCGTGGCACTGGACAGCCACTTGAGGGAAACCGTTCGAGTGCCCCAAGCCTATACACACATGGACCGCGCCAGGACCAGGACCGCGCCAACACAAGTGCACGCCGCGTGCTCTCTCTCTCTCTCTCTCTTTCTCCCTTCTCAGCCAGCCCTGGCGGAAAGTCCATTCGGACATTCGTTTTAACGCGTCACAGACAACTTGACGCCGCCCCGCGCCAACCGTGTGCCGCGCTTCGGGGCGCCTTCGAAAATCACAACATTTCCCGTCTCTGTCGCACTGACTGCGGGCCGGTGGGAGGGACAGCGACGCCGCTCTCGATTCTCGACCGTCTCGGAGGCAGCCCCGGGGCGTGCGTGCCGCAGTGCGCCGTGCGTTGGGTAAACACGGCCGAGACGAAGGCGGCCAGGCGTCTGCTTATAAGGCTGTTGCTGGATCTTGACAGGATCGAGGCGTCGGTCGCCAATGTGGAACATCCTGCCAAAATTCTTGCCTGAACGTGAGTCGAAACTCCCCCTCCCGGCCCTCCCGGCGAATTTTCTATTAACAGCGTGATAACGGCGGAGAGCTGCCAAACTCACCTTAACAGGTGCTCGGCCTGCATGTGGTGGTGGTGGTGATGGTGGTGCGAGGGCTGCGGGACGTGCCACGAGTGCTCCGTCCTGGCGGTGCTGGCCGCGGCCTCGGGGGCGACGTCGGCGGCGTTGTCCATGGCGTTGTCCATGGCGTTGTCGGGGGCCGCGGGGGTGAGGTACTGGTCCAGCTCGCCGTCGCGCAGGTCCCTGGCGGCCTGCAGGCCGAGGTTCAGGTCGCACACCGCCGAGCTGAAGTCGATGCTGCCCGCGTCCGAGCCGTGGCACATGTCTGCGAGGGAAGAAGCGGGTAAGTTCGATATGCGTCCCGAGGAGGGTGAGCCAGAGACAGAGCGACGGAGCGATTCTTCGGAGTGCAGCTCGGCGCGCATCGCCCATCGCGCGCATCCCATTGTCTGCGGCACGGCGCCCGGGCAGCAGGCAACGCGAGGACGCGGCCGCATGGCCCGTCCTGCGCGGCCTACCTCGCAGGCGCCAGGCCCAAGGCCAGACCGGCCGCCGCCGCCGCGCACCCACAGCCATACCGCTGGTCTTTGATCCACCTACCGACGTCCGACGGGCTGCTGAAGATGTCCTGCTCGGAGCCGCAGCACGACTGCTCGGCGGCGAGCATCGAGTCCGGCGAGGACGCCGTCAGGGTGGCCGCGCTGGCGGCGCCGCCGAGGCACTGCGGCGTGGTGGGTGGCGTCGGCGGGGAGCTGGGCGACATGGTGCAGGGGGAGATGCAGGAGCCGCGTCTGCAACAAGGCCCACTTTTAACACTCGCCGCCTCGCGCGCCAGCGAAGTGGAGTCACTCTTGTCCTCGTCGTCGCGCACCTCACGGCCTGCATGCCGGGGGCGTGCTGCTGCCGGCCGGGCTGGGGGCGGGGCGGCGTCCCCGTTTGCGATGGTTGTTGTTGTTGTTGTTGCTGGGGCTTGGCTTTGCGCCGCCGCGGCTGGTACTTGTAGTCGGGGTGCTCCCTCTTGTGGATGATGCGCAGTCGCTCGGCCTCCTCCACGAACGGCCTCTTGTCGCGCTCGCTCAGCAATCTGAAAAAACAAAAACAAAAACGAAATGGAAACGCGTCCAAACAACGACCACGGCGTACATGTCGTCTGCCGCACACCTACCTCCACAGCTTGCCCAGGGTCTTGCTGAGCTCCGCGTTGTGCAGCTGGGGGTGCTGGTCGGCCAGCTTGCGGCGCGCGGCCTGCGCCCACACCATGAAGGCGTTCATGGGGCGCTTCACGTGCAGCTTGCGCTGGTTGGACGCGGCTCTGGAAAGGGAACATCTTGCATGAGCCCAAATGGCAGAAGGAACAACAACAACAACAACAACATTCCCTAAGCAAGTGGAAAAGAAGGACGCTAACTTCGGTATTCGTACTCGGCCTGAAGGGGGCAGGGAGAAGGTCCTGAAAAGTAGAAATCGGCCAGACGGAGGACTGAGGTGGGGGGGGGGGTGTATCCTTGGCTGGCGCCAGTATGTCGCGCCATGTCGCGCCGCGGACGCGTTAACTATTCCCATTTTCAAGAAATCGCTAAGCCAGCCGCAGACTTTAGCGCCAGCACGGCGTGGCGAGGTGGGGTGGGGCGGGACGGAGTGGGGGGCGGGGCGGGGCGGGGCCGGGCCGCTCGGGAATTCCACCGAGCCGGAAACGTTTGAAGCGGTCCAAAAGTAGACAGGATTGTTCGGATCGTCGCTAATAAACCAACAAGGGGCCGTCCACTAAACGACGAGGCCATTCTCTCTCCCCTCTTGCCACCCCCTTTTTTGACAACTGGGCCATGACTGGGCGGCCCCGCTTAAAAATCCAAATTTTCAACCCCTTCGACCCGTTTTAGCGAGGTCGCGTCGAGGAAACGGGTCGCCGTGTCCATTCCCTTCCGTTCCGCTGCGTTTGTCCAGTTTGTCCGAGGGCGCTGGCGCTTCCACGGCGACATGTGCAGCCTGCCCCGCGCCCCGTGCCGCTACCGCCGCCGCTACCGCCGCCGCTACCGCCGCCGCCTGCCACGGCGTGTCCCCGAAGCCCGAAGCCCGAAGCCCCGCGCGGCGAGTGTTAATGAAGCTACGTGCGTCCGTGTTTGCGTTCCCAGGCGGTTCGGTTCCAGTCTCGGCGGCGCGGCGCGGCACGGCCCGAGTCCGTCTTGCCCACATTCCGCGTCGATCCACTTGAAGAGGGCCTCATCGGACTCGCCGCGCCGCGCCGCGCCCAGCGGATCGGAATCAGATCATCGACTCGCGCGTCCGCGGCGCGTCGTCGCCGAGGGTCTGGAGGGGCCGCGCGGGGGTGGGCCGTGAAAACAAAAGTCGGGCCGCGGCTCCAAAGCGCCACTCGAACGTGGGAACCAAGCCGCGGTTTGGAGCGCGAGCTGGGCTCATGATTCCGAACAGTGCTTGCGTCGCTCTGTCTTTCTCGCTCTCATGGGGCGTCCCCTTAGGGTGCGAGAGAGAGAGAGAGCGGCTGGGCGGCGCCGTGTTTGCCTCGACCACAGTCGCAGTGTCTAGGACGCGCTTTTTAAACGACGAGCATATTTGGACGGCGATCGAGGCGGGTCCTCCGCAGTGGCGGTAGCCCGGTGCAAATGAGGGGAAGGGGGGAGGGGGAAGGGGAGGGGGCGTGAGTCCCATTAGCACCTGCTGCAGGGGCCTCACACGCCGGCTCTCCCACGCCCTCCGGCGCCACGCGACAGCCACGCTCCCCGGAGGAGGGAAGGGAGGGGGAGGGGGAGGGGGATACTTCTTTGTCATCCCCCGCATCGTGCAATTTTTCGAATCGCGGGGAAGGATCAGGAAACACACTGACACGAACCTCGTATGCAACTACGTTTTCAGTTTCAACTTCGGTTTGGGATTGTGCGTGAGAGAAAGCTTTCCCATATTTATCGTCTTAAACTTGAATATTTTGAGCGGAAAAACGTCCTCTCTCTTCACACGAACGCGACATACCTGGTAGTGACGGGCACCAGCGTCCAGTCGTATCCCTGCAGGACCTTGCTGACGGCCTGGCCGATGTCGCTGTGCTCCAGCGACAGGTCCTCCAGGTCGATCCTGGTGGCCCCGCGGCCCGCGCACATCCTCGGCGTCGTCGTCCTGGGCGTCGTCCTGGGCGTCGTCGTCGCGGTGCTGCGGGCGGCCGAATCGGCGGCCCCGTCTGGCTCCGTGCCGCAGTCGTCGGCCTGCTCCGTGAGCCTCTTCCGCGGTGACGCACTTGTTGCTCTGCTGGCCTCAGGGAAGGCCCGCGGCGGCTGCCATGGGGGGGGGGGGACGGGACGGCCTGCACGGCGCTGCACAGCGACGTTCGGAGCGACACGGCCAGACACTCCGGCACCGCGGACGGGCAGGACGGCCTAGACGGGCAGGGCGGGCACGGCGCGCGCGGCGAGGGAGGGTGCGCTGCCGTGGCGTTTGAGGCTCGAGGGTCACAGGCACACTGACAGCGGGCCAGGACCAGCCAGGCTCGCTCCATCCAGCCCGTCAGACAGTCAGGCCGTCAGGCCGTCGGGAAGGGTTCCTGGGTCCCCGGGCCCGGGGCAGGCGGGTAGCTGGTGCGGCTGGTGCGCCCGGCATGCCCCCACCCCCTTTTCCGCGCCCGTCGCCACGCCCCCTCCCCCGCACACTTCACACACACACACACACACACACTCACACACACACACACACACACAGCCTGCTTCAGCCGCACACGCTTCAGCCGTACAGGGCGAGGCGTGCGGTCATGTTCGCTTTCCTCCTCCTTCGCGGAAGCCCTCCCGAATCCGAATCCCGAATCCCAGCCGAATGGCGGTGCGGTGGCCTGGCGGCATGACGGCTGGCCTGTCTACTCGCCCTCCTCGCCCTCACCCCGTGGTGCGGGGCGGTGAGGTGCCTTCCGGCTGTGTCTGCAGCAGACTGGGGCGGGCTTAGTTGTGAAAACGAAATTCAAACCGCCGGCGCCGGAGCGTGGCGCGGCGTGCAGTAAGCGGAATTCTCGACCTCGCCACGCGGTGAGGGCGGAGAGGCATCAAGGAGCATCACGGTGTGTCAGTCAGGTGCTCCGCGATTCCGCGCTTACTACCGCCCCCCTCTTCTTTTCCTTTTTTGCACTGACTGCTCTCTTTGCTTGCATCGGTTTCGTTTGCATGCGGGGGAGAATAATTCCTCATCGGGTATTTTATTTATATTGAAAACGTTAGTTTATTTGTACGCTCAGGGGGAGAATAGGAAGACTTTTAGCTAGTTTCAGCGGCATGATGAGGGCTATCGAATCCTGGCCGGGATGAGCACGCACACGATGGGCTTCTTGAACTCGTTGAGCAGCTCCCACTTCACGGTGACTTGGCGCAGCTGGGGACAACGGCAAAAACAAACATCTCACTACCATGACGCATTTGCACTTTCTCCCCCGCCACCGGTTTTCAAGATGAATTAAAATTGTTCGATGGAGGAGAAAGTCGAAGGGTTCAAAATTGTCTGCCAGTAAATACACTCCAACAAAACAAAATCTGTCGCTGTTGTTGATTTTTTTTAAAAACAATATTTTTAACAGTGGAGCGACTAGACTCACCCGGGGCTTGGTCTTGTCCACGAACAGGCTGTAGGTGTAGGTGTGCGGGCCGGGGTTGAGCGGGCACGTGAGTCCGGTGTCACGGCAGGCGTCCGGGTTCTTGAGCTCGAACGGCATCTCCAGGCCCGCGATGACGCCGTGCACGGAGGCCAGCACCCGCCACTCGCGCTTCTCTGCCAGACAGAAACACGGTCCCAGTGCAGTGCCTCCGGCGGCCTCGACGAATCACGGCCCGAAAGGGGAAAGGTGAAAGCAACACTCACTGTTGGTGAAGTCGATGGAGATGGTGACGCTGTGGTCGCGGCGCAGCGTGCACAGCGTGTCGTTCTTGTTGCAGCCCAGAACGGACACCGACGTCCACTCGCCCAGGTCGCTGTTGGGAGCTGCGGGACGACACCGCGGTGAGTATTCGAACCCGTGACCTGCCGTCGCCTGCCGGCGCGCGGCTGTCGTCTCACTTACCGCAGTTCTTGAACTCGGCGGCGAGCGCGCTGGCGATCAGACAGGCGAGGCAGGCGGCCACCGCCACGGCGTTGGTGTTCGCGTTCATGGCGGCACACTTGTAGGGCACTAGGGCTGGAGGGTTGGAGGTGGCACTGCACTGGGGAAGGCTCCCGGAGCACTCAGGTTCTAACGCGGCTTAGACTCGCACTGGCCGCTAGCGCGCTGCAGGCAAGCTGCAAGCAAGCTGCAAGCAAGCTGCAAGCGACCCCGGCAGGCTGATGCAGAACAATGTCCGCCACTCTGTCTCTCTCGCACCCCCGGGCGGGCCCCTTGAGCGGGAGAGAGACAGAGGCAGACGTGTCTCCACGCCGCGGGCCGCGGAATCGGCCAGTCAGCGCTCGTTCAGCGCGTTCAGCGCCAGGCTTGCAGTCCCAAACGTGTCGAATGCCGAATGTGGGGCAACGGCTCCACGAGGCAAGACCGACACGGCGAAATTCGCCTCTCCCTTGGCCTGCCCTGGGCGGTAGTCGAACCCGGACTCCAGGACAACCGAGGACAACGCGGTGGAGCGCCTGCGGCAAGCTGGCAGGCCAGCCCGCCACCGCCGCGCGAGCGTTGGGCTGCCTACGCTGCAGGCGCCTCAGCTCGCGCTGGCTCTCCTCCTGACTCTCCAGCCTCGCGGGGACGCACGTCGGCTCCCGCCGCCGCCGGTCGCGTGTCACGCTGATTCCAGAGGACCACGCTCATTTTGGTTTCCATGCCGCCGTCGTCTATCCCTACTACTCCTTCCGACCATACAAGGTCGCGGGGGCAGTCACCAGCAGCACGGCCAGCACGGCCTGCCGCGGCGCGCCACGCCGACCCCGGCCATTAGGTATGCTGCACTGCGTCCACCAGCTGGCCCGTATGAGAGTGAGGAAGTCGGCATGGCAAGTTCGTCGCTCTGGGGGCGACGCCACTCTGGCGGAGTCCAGAGGGACCCAGAGGGAACCAGAGGGACCCAGAGGCCGCGCCGCGCTCGCCGGCCCCTCCAGCGTAGAGCAGGCGCAGTTTAAGGAGCCCGCGATTGTGTGCATTTTGCCTACCTACAGGGGCATGTGATGTTGGTTGCCTACTATCAGGCGTTGAGGGAATCTCACAGTGGGGCGATCGCTCCTTTGCCCCTCCCCTTAAACCGCGCCTGGCGTAGAGGGCCCAGCCTTCTCCGCCAGCGACGCCGCGCTGCTGGACAAATCTGGGGAAGTCCATTCGCAAGACGCGTGGTGCTGGCGGTGACTGTACCGCGGGGAAGTGCACGCGAAGCGGTTGCAGTTTGTCGCGGTTCGGTCACACTGTGATTCACCACCTCGATGATGACACGTGCGGCAGTTCGGCCCTTCGCCCCGGGCGGGCCACGGGGCACGCCGACGACAGGGAGATAGGTCGAAGCAGGCAAGCCAAAGGCAAGCCAAAGGCAAGCAGGCCAAGGACCCATTCCGGCCCGATGGCCGCTGCTCGTAGCTGACCTGGCCTAGTCCCCCCAGCGGACTAATCAGGCCAAGCCGGCCACGCGGACATCGGGTCGTTGCCCAGAAGACCATCTTGCAACCCTGTCGACTGATTCCGAACACCGTTTCGTCGCTCTCTGTCTCTCTCACACCTATCAGGGAAGTCCCGTAAGTGCGGAGAGAAACAGAGCGACGGCAGCGACGAGCGGAGTCAGTCTGCTGGCCGTCGGGACGGAAGCGCGAACAAAGGGTATCGCGGCAGCGCGCAGCAGATAGGGATGAGGCTCGTTTGGGTTTTGTTCGGGTTTGAGAGTAAATTCTCCATAGGGAATTCCGAGTTGGGTTCTTGGCGGTGGTGGGTGGGCCTGCAGCCTGCCTGCAGGGCCGGCACACACGCGACCAGCCAGCCAGCCAGCCAGCCAGCGGACATGAACGGCCAAGCGCCCCCCTCCCTTCCCCCTCCCCTCGCCCCTTCCCTTCCACCCTTCCTCTCGCCAGCGCGCGGAACAGCAATGGGAGCGACAAGGACAGAAAGGGAAGGGGGAGGGGCAGAGAGGGCTCTTTGTCGCACGCACCTCGCACTCGCACCTCACCGACTCGACTTGACAGAGTCGTCGATGCCCGGCCGCGGAGCGCGGTGCGCGTTGCGGTGGCGGTCCACTCGGCGGGAGCTGCCGGCGATTTTGGGAAATGGAGGGGGGGAGTGGGGGTGCGTGTTGTATAATGACAGCCGCTCGTCATCTCCCTCTAGTGGCCACCACGCCAGCCTGCCGCCAGCAGTAGCGTCCGCAGTCCAGTCCGCGCGCTCTTGTTGTGGTCAGTGATACAGTGATACGCCACTTCGCCAGCGGGCAGCCAGGCAGCAGCAGCTAGAGCGAGCGGCCGGCGCGGCAGACTGCAGCAGAGCGGTTCAGCTCCCCGTCCGACTACGTCCGACGACACCAACATGGCCAAGCTCCTGGTGCTGGTGCCCGCCCTCTTGGCCCTGGCGGCGGTCGTCCCCGCGGCGTGGGCGGCGGACATCGAGGACTGCGGTGAGGATCATGGCGGACCGGTGTCTCACGCGTCTCAGCTCCGACGTGGATTACTTCGCGTGCATGTGCGGACCGAAGTCGCGTCCCCGTGACTCGAACTTTGAGTCGGGAACGCAGATCGCGAGTGACGCCAGAACAATTATTGCACTAACGACCTGCAATCGCAATAAGCGCGATACAGTACTGCCGAAAAATGGCGGATTGTTTTTGTTTTCGCCTACCAGCGACCCGGTCGCGGGGCCGGTCTGTTTTGAGCGCGTCTCTCCCCCTGTCAGAGATGAGTCAATGTGCGACCAGGCCGGGCTGAGGCCAGGCGCGACTTTGCTCTGCATGCGTCGGCTCGCTTCGGTCAACGAATTCCCTCCCGACTGCGACGCGCTGACACTGCAGGGGGTCGATTACGGCGGCGTTTTATTCGGCAGCACTACCGCTCGCGCTTGGGAACACACGGTTGGGTCCGGCCGAAGCTCGGGAGCCAACCAGCGGCGAGCACGGGTCCGATAGAAGATCGCGCGTTTTAACTCACGATCGTAATCGGCAGTAGTAAAAACATTTGGCTTGTAATAAGGAAATTTGAGCTGTCACCTCCTTATGAGCTGTTATAATAATAGAACTACTATTGATTGCTCAGTAAAAAAAAAAAAAAATTTCAAAAAAAAAGAAGTATGGATTCAAATTAACGCACTGCCACGGTTAGTAACGTAGAAATGTTTCAAAAACTGTTTGTTTACATCGCGAACGAACCATAACCCCTGTACGAGTAATTTAACCAATGATACACACTTTCAGAACCTCGGATGATAATTTTTGCGTGTAATAATTTAAATGCCGCCGAGACGCAGCTAAAACATCGAATGTCAATCCTTCCTCGTTCCTTGTAAACCACGTAAACACTGCAACTGATTACGAGCGTGAGTTAATTAAAACGCGCGATCTTCTGTCGGACCCGTGCTCGCCGCTGGTTGGCTCCCGAGCTTCGGCCGGACCCAACCGTGTGTTCACGAGCGCGAGCGGTAGTGCTGCCGAATAAAACGCCGCCGTAATCGACCCCCAGACTCATTCCGGGGGGTCGCTTTCGTCGCTGTCTCCCTCACACCTTAACGCGACGCCCCAAGAGTGCGAGAGAGGCAGGGTGCAGCGCTGCGGGGCCGGTGGGGTGGGCGTGTTGGTGATAAAAGCGCCACGCAGCAGAATGAGACGACGCGGTGCGTCACGTCGCCTGCACTGGAGTCTAGTCGCCCTTCGATGATCGACAGGCCGACAGGATGACAGAATCCGCCGAGACAAATCGATGGCGCCGCGTTCCTCTGCCTCCGCGTTGAGTAACCATCTCCATTTCCCAGTCCGGCACTACGCGCTGCCATGGCGCTGCCCAGTCGCCGTGACCACAGAGCACACCAAGCACACCGTGACGGCGGAGGCGAGGTGCCACACACCGCGCCATTTTTGATTAGAACCGCGGTAATTCCGGCAATTGGCAGTGCCGTGCCTCCGTGATGGCCCGGACGCCCCCATCACAATGCCAAGCGACGCCAACAGTCTGCGGCGACGTCTCAAGCTCTTTTGCGACTTTGTTACAGCCGAAGCGGAGGACCTGGGCAAGTTCATCGAGGCCAAGGTGTCCGGGTGCACGGAGGACGACACCAAATGCCCGTTGATGAGGGGCAACAACGTCACCATCACCATCAAGTTCAAGTCCAGTAAGCAGCCCCCGCGCCTGTTGGGTTGCCTAACCACCAGGGCATCCGCGCGCACTCGTTCGACTCTGTCCGCGAAGAAAAAGGAATGATGACGTTTCTTTTTCCAGACAAGGAAATCAAGGCGGTGCAACAGGTGGTGCACGGCGTGTTAGCTGGAGTGCCGGTGCCCTTCCCCCTCGAGAGCCCCGACGCCTGCCAGAACACCGGCTTGACGTGTCCACTGGTTGTGGGCGACCACACCTACAACTACGGCCTCTTCATCAAGCCCGTGTATCCCAAGGTAACTTTCAATCCCTTCTGAGCCGGTCATTCCCTACCTCTGACAAAATCACTTCATCACTTTGTTGAATTTTCAACAGGTATCCGTGAAGGTCAAGTGGGAGCTGCTAAACGAGGATAAGAAGCAGATAGTTTGCTTGTTGATCCCTGCTATTTTGAAATAGACCCAGCACATCAGTAACTTTCTATCCATTTTAATTATTTTTTTTAATACAAACAATTATACTTTGTCCACTTAATTAGGAAATTATAATGGTCCTGTTTGCACAAATAAATGAACAAAAAAAAAAAAAACAGCTCAATTTAACTTAAGAAAGTTTTATTTTAATGACAATAGTACAAACAACGTACAACCAACCAGTCACAACTTAAAAACAAAAAAAGACTTCTGGCTCATAAATCAATCTTTGATAACAGCCATTGGATTGATACCTATCAATCTCAATAGCAAAACAGAGACAAATCACAGTCAAACAAATCAACCTTGGAACTGTGTGTTCCAACAAATATCAAGAACAAAAACAAAATACCAGTGCGTTTCATCTTCTGCACTGATTGGGAGGAGCACTGAACTGTATTACAACCGGGGATGTCACCTGGGCTGGGGCTGCCTGCTGCCTAAATAGCAGCAGTTGGGTTGGGAGCCCCATCATTCTTGCCAGCATCCCTCCAGTTGCCACTGTTGTTGGACTGCCTGTTGCCGCGAGGGTAGGGACGGCCCCTGCCACCGCCCCTGCCACGGCCCCTCTGGCCACCGCGCCCTCTATGACCATGACCGCCAGTGTAGGGCCCTTCACGCCAGCTTCCACGTTCCTTGGCTTGGGCTGCAGCTGCTGCCAGTTCAGCCTCATCAGGTCTAATTTTGGCTGTGCGACGAAGTGTAAATACAGCTGCATCCAGTCCACCAATGTTAGCTGACATCACTTTGCTTTGCCACCACAAGCCCATGGTGTTAACCAATGCCTGTCGAACGTTTAAAAAAAAAACGTAAGATGCAAAAGACAATTAACAACAAATTAAAATGGAGTCGCAATGAGCTGGAATTACCATAGAAAAACTCTTGCGATCCTGGGTGAGGAGAATCGCCCGACCTTTGCCAGGACGGGCAACCCTTGCCATTTCAAGTAAGACACGCTGATACAAATTGCGATTTGAAGTTTTACTACCTAAGCGAACTCCAAAGGGCTGCAATCATAAAACATCACAATTAAGATCAGTTAGTTTAGACCAAAGATCACATAAAGGGGTTTTTGACTCACCAAATCTGTGACTATAACATCAACACTCCCTTCATTGAGTGGCAATCGTCGAGAATCCCAGCGAACAGTACCAATGGGAAGTTCTCTGCCTTCCTCCTCTTGCAGACAACGCACATTTGAATAAAATCGGGAGCAAGCTTTGGGATGGATATCACCACCAATGTGGAATGTCCCAGGAAAACTCATAGCACCCTGAAATTATTATTAGTAAATCAACCAATGGCTAGTCATTTTCAACACTTGACCAAATATTGTGGAGGCCAAAAAAAAAAAAAAAAAAAAAAAAAAAAAAATTGAATAATTGGAAATAAGAATAATTTTAGACAAGTTCAAACTGACCTCAATGGGAATAGAACCTCCACCAGCTAGAGGATCCAACACAATGTCACCTTGCTGAATATCAGCCAAGCGTAGAAGATTGTGACAAACTGTTGAGCGAAGAGTGGTTGGACCAAAGAATGAAATATTTCGACGATGGAGGGATCGTTTAGTAAGTGCTATACTAACTTGAGCAGAGTCTGCAATAAAGGGGGACAATAAATTATATCCTTTGTTTCAATAAAAAGTGTGCAGAAAATAGTTGATCAACATACCCTTAAAGAGGAACAAAACAATCTCTGCATTGAAATTAACAAGATCTACCACCCAATTAAATTTATCTTGGAGCTCTCCACCAAACTCACGAGCCACTTCCATAGAACCAAATGAGTGTTTGCCTACACGGAAACACGTAGCTCTGAACCGTAGAACTCTCTCACCTAGATTAAGATAAAACATTACCAGCATTACATTGCCAAGCCTTGAAGACATAATTCATGTAAAGAATACAAGAGGGAATCTTACTTGAAGGAACATCCGCATCAATCTCCCTCTCAATTTCCCTCTCATAATCTGGTAGCGACTGTATTTCATCTTCCGAATCAGCCCCATCAGCAGTTCCTTCAACTTCAGTTGTCACTCCTGGCACAGAATACCAACAAATTTTACACATTAATGTGAGACCAAATGGGTCTGCAGTGCATCAAGTTAAATTTGAATAGACACCTGAAGCAGAATCCTCCAGAGTTGTTTCCTCTGTCTCCCTTTGAGTATCTGAAGATGCCATGGACACCTTTTCTAACTCAGATTCTATGTTATCGGTACCCACAGGCTCATCAGTTTTTTCCTCTACAATATTCTCATCAGCAGCGGCATCACTGGCAGTGTCAACAGCCTTTGATGTTTCATTCGCACCTTCATCCTTGTTCTCGACAGCAGCAGCCTTACGAGCTGTGAAAAGAAAGCAACAGCGTTTTTAATCTGATAGGGACAACAGAACATACTTCAGACTGATTTACCAACAAATTTACCTGCATCCCTTTGAGCTCTCAAAAGGTCTGCCTTAGCCTTGCGCTTGGCTCGCTTTTCAGCATTGCGTTCTTGACGTTCTTTATATTTCTTTTGTCTTTCTGCTGTACGAATCTTCTCAGCTTCCTTATCTTTTGTGGCTCTTTCATTGGCAGCAGCATACTGTTCGGGTGTAGGCTTCACGATCCCCTCAAAACCAGACAGTTCTTTCCATACATTCAACCACTTGTCCCAATCAGGAGTATGAGCCTGCTTCTTGGCAATCGCAACATCCTCAGCCTGAAAAATGATGAAGTACAGACACCAAAGAAGCGGAATAAGAACTGTTCCAGGAACATTGTGGGATTAATATTACTTACAGAGTTGGTCCCTTTCAAATCCATTTTAGGGTCAAAGCTAAGCACTTGATACAGATTGTCCACAGATCTCAACTTCATCACCTGCAAATGAAAATTGAACATAAGACACATTTTGAAAAGCAGTGATAGCGTCTCTCTGGCACCGCACGGCCAGCGCACGGCATGGGCATGGGAGCATTTTACAAGGTTATGACAAGTTGTCAACTTACCTCAGGAAACTTTTCCTTAGCAATATTGAACATGATACTCCCACGCTCTTTCAAGACGTGGAAATCTTGTCCAAATTTATCCCGACACTCTTCAATGGCCATGAATTCAAAGCCGGTGTCGACGGTGGCTTCGATTGTGATTTCGGATTCGGTGCGAATTTTGAGGAGTTCCTCCACAGCTCTGGACTTGTTCCGATCGGCATCGGCACGGTCGGGCCGTGCACCCTGTTCCACCTGTTCAACATTTTCTGTTTGTTCGCTTTCCATGACAGCCACAGAAGTCCACAGGTTGCGCCTCGGAGTTACAACGAAGCAGGACGGCGGTCTGGTGGGTGGTCTGGTACTCGATGTCGAGTTCCAGGAGTCACATCCGAACGCAGCCGGCAACACCGGCAACCGGTTCGGTTTTGCTTCGCAACTCGAATGTGAATAGCGATATGGCAGAGTATGCCAGCATAACCGTTGTGCTCTCAAACGCATTTACGTCGAGAAAGTTAGAAGAAATGGCTCTACCCTGTGGACACTGATACTCCCTGCAATAATTTTGTGACTGCAAGATGTCCATTCATTATACTCATCCGCGCAAAACCACCCCGACCAGATCTGACCAGTCAACCCGATCTCTGCCCGGAACGTGGAACGTCAAACGTCAAAAGCAGAAAGCAGAACAGCAAACAGGCTGCAGCCGCTAATTCGTCGACAGGTAAGATGATTTCTTTGCATTTCAAAATATCATCGTTGTTTCTGGACCATGAAGTTTTGTAGCGATAACTTTCTTTCATCCTCTGAGTTGCGCTTTCATGTTTGGGGAAAAAACTGAGGCCTAGTCGAAAGGTTACTGCCCCTAAGTACAGTACCCATCTGGAATGACAGTTTGCTGTCATTGATTCGTTTGATTCATTACTGGGCATATTTCTCCTCTGTTATAATTCAATATGTCTTGTTACAGAGTCGAGATATGCATGCAGTTCATAGAAACTTATTTCTTTCAACATGAATTCAACCACCTTTCTGTTGGTGTTTGCATGTAAGTTGATTCTCATATTAAACATCTAATGTCAGTAATTTTGAATAAATAAACTTCTAACTTTTCTAGTCTTGAATCTTTATTGACACTTTGTTGTTTTAGGTGTGTTAAGCTTATCAATTGCTTCAAGAGTCATTGAACTGAGTGACAGGTATGTGATCTTTTACGTACTTATTGATTATTCATAGAAATTGTGTATTCTTAAAATATTCGTCTTGTTGTAGTGATGGCATCTATTCTGACTTCATTTTCACATGTTTCGTTGTAGGTTTCTGGACATACGTCGAGATGGCCAATGGTTGATTATGGTTAGTAACAAGTTTATACTAAAATCATTAAAGACTGAACAGAACTGACTGAGTGTGCACCTTCTAAGTATTCTGTCAACAATTAATTGTTTGTATTTCAGTTCTATGCTCCCTGGTGTGCCCATTGCAAACGCCTGGAACCTATTTGGGCTCATGTTGCTCAAGCCCTAACTAACACTAATGTGAGGGTTGGCAAGGTTGACTGCACCAGATTTTCTTCCTTGGCTACTGAGTTTAAAGTGAATGGTTTTCCAACCATCATGTTGTAAGTTAAAAGACACTCACTCTTTCCCTAGGTGTCTCTATTTTAATCACTTCTTAATTTACTCACAAGTGACATCTTCCATTTTAGTATGAAAGGTGATGCAGAGTTCACCTACAATGGAGATCGAACCAAAGAAGAGATAATGAAATTTGCTCTGCGAGTATCAGGACCACCGGTTCAATCAATCCAGCGACCTGAAAGTTTGGACAACCTGAAGGGTACTCAAGATCATTTCTTTGTTTATGTTGGAACTCAAACTGGACCTCTCTGGGTATAAATTTTGAATTCTGTACAATGTTTCAAACATATCAATCATAAATTAATGTGCCCCTTTTTGTTTGTTATGTAGGAAGCCTATTTTGATGTTGCTGAAAAATTCCAGCCGCATGCATTCTTCTATGCTACATCTCCAAATATTGCCAAAATGGTATGATTCTTCTCAGATTTTATTTCATGATTAAGTTTGAAAAAGGAGGCACTCATTTCCTTACTGATTTATTGTGTGTTTTCACAGCATGTAAAAATAGATGATACTCCTGCCATATTTGTCTACAAAGATAATAGTCACTTTTTCTTTCAAGGTAAGTTTTAAGAGTATACTATTTTTCTCTTAAAAATGAGTTATGTTGTATTTATGCAAACTGTCCATTTTCTGTCATTTCTCCCTTAGAAATTACAACAACTGAAGCACTAAATACAAGCATTGCTGATTGGATTAATCGGGAACGGTTCACACAGTTTCCTAAAGTGACACGGGGCAATTTGAATCAGCTGATGAAAACTGGAAAGTACTTGGTCTTAGCAGTTGTGGAGGAAAACAAGCTAGAGGAAGTCCCTGCACAAATGCTTGAGTAAGTGGTGAAATAAATCCTTTTTACAAATTTCTTTCCATATGCAAATGCTGACAATGAACTTCTCTTTTAGATTCAAGGATATGGTTGAATCAGTCATTGTAAAACACAGAACGAAGTATCATAGGTGAAGTTAACTTTTTGTGTTTCTTTGAAACTTACTCTTGTATTTGTGTCTCTGTTGCACTTTAAGATTTTATAACAATATTTCTTTCACAGACATTTTCAGTTTGGTTGGGTTGCTCAGCCCGACTTGGCTAATTCAATTGCAATGCAAAAGCTTCCCTTGCCATCATTAATGATTGTCAATTCAACAACAAATCATCATCACTTTCCTGATGATGATCCAGCACAGCTGACTGCAGAGGCCATAGTGATGTTCCTTGAACAAACTCTCAGTCAATCACTGCCGGTACTTTTACCTTGTTTCTACTCTATCGTATGAATAAAAGTATTTGGATTAAGCTTTGATTTTGTGCCTGTGTTGCAGATATATGGTGGCAACTCATGGCCAGTGCGAGTTTATCGTGCTTACTTCGAGATGATAACGGCGGCATCTGATATGTGGAAAGGAAATCCTGTCCTGACAACAGTTTTGTTTGGCCTTCCATTTGGGTTTCTTTGTCTCATTTGCTATTCAATTTGTTGTGCTGACATTATGGATGCTGATGAGGAGGAGGAGGAAGAAGAAGGTGAGTCACTTCTCCCATTCTCAATTCAACCAAATTTTATTTTCTAGATTAAGTTTTGGTTCTCTTCAATGGACTACATTTGCTTTTCATTTTCAGAACCTCTACATGAAAAAAGAGAATAAATTACCCCTTATACATGTGGTGCACTTGATAGGCTGTGGAATCCATGATCTCTTGGATGAGTGTATGCTTAAAATTTAAAGGACAAAATCTAGTCAAATTTGGGTGGACTTGTCAAATGATGAGTATACATGTGTCATATTAGCTTCTCATGCTATATCTGTGCTAATGTTTTGCTCATTCCATAGACGTCTTTTCTTGTCAGTTTGAGATTAATTTAGGTCACTGTCCATCATGATAACTTCACTTTTCATTTATTATAATTAAAAGATCCTATGGTGTTTCCAGAACTTTTTGTACTTTGTTAATACGTAACTTGAAAGAATTTGTTTTTGCAATTATTGATTTAGCGACCCTATTTTGCTTTTTACATTTCCTCACAATCATGGTATGCTCTTACTTCATATCTTTTATTGACCAAGACACACTCAAGTAAAGTACTTACAATTAGCTGGGAGAAGTGGGACATGCATTTGAATGGCAAAATAGTTTTATGGGGTGATTTTTTTTTCTCTCTGTTTTATATTACCTGAACAAAATGTTGTATGTTTACTAGGTTGCTAAAGTAATGTTCATCCCTTCTGTTTCCTGTCTGCCTTATATGTTATACTTTGTTCATTTCTTCCAATGTTATCCTTTGTACAAGGGTTATCTTTGATTTTAATATTCTATTGCCATCTAGTCGGTTATCTATGTTTTGGTGTTTGATTTACAGGCAGACTTCTTGTTGATATGGTTTTACTAGTTCTATGTACTTAAGTTAAAATAATTGCTCATAGTGTGTTCATGATGTCCTGTACATTTATATATTGTAGGTGATCCCTGTAATTTATCTTCCCAAGCAGATCAGACTTTTGCCTTTGGTTAGACTATTGGACTGCAGTGCGAATGACAAATGATGAAGAAAATAACAATAATAAACTTTCTTACTGTTTGAGTTATTTGCATTGTATTTCCTGGAAAGATGCCAAAGGAAAATACAAAATGATTAAACATGTTCATGCTCTTTGAAATATTTATTCAAGTGACTATTACAATTGGTGTGCCTACAATGAAGCTTGCTTAGTTAGTAATTTATCAAAGAAGAATCTTATATAAATGGTGTTGATTTCCGCTTCTGGAGTGCTCCACACACAACCAGAGGTCAGTCATAGTTACCTTTTAACCCAAAAAGGTAAGAACACAGGAAAAAAAATTTATGTCACGTACACAGACCCCCCCCCCCCAAAAAAAAAAAAAAAAAAAAAAAAAAACACACACACACTTGATAATATCCAGTTGGAAAATTCAGTCCATTCACATGTGCTGGCAGTGCGCCTCAAACATCTAAAGAACTGAAAACCAACTGAGTTCACCAGGAAGCCACATGTAATGCACCTACCTTACTTAAAAGTTAACATACCCTCAAGGGAAAGGCAATAATATTCAGAAATGTGAATCATTAATAAAGTCAATCCATCACAGCCACAGCCCTTATGCCACAGAACTTTTCCTGAGGCAAATGCAAAGGCTAAAATTAATACAAATTCATTTTTTTAAATAATAAAACTTTTTTTAAAAAATGAAAGAAGCAAAACATTGGTGATACTAAGGACAACGAGTATCACCTTACACTAGAAGTACACAATCATTTAAAAAAATGCAATGTGAAGTCTCAAGGAGTCTCACTATGAAAAGAATGAGATGATCCAACACTTCCACACCCTAACATTCCATTGACACATACCAGACAGCATTGATTAACTTAAGGTATTGCAACTGACATCACTTGTGACAGATCACATTTTATAGAGCATTGGACGTTATTCTACTCAAGCTATAATATGGAAGTACTAAGTAGCAAATGTAATATGAATTACAGTAGCCTCAAAGGTCAGCAAAAACTTCTGACAAGTCAATTAAGAGATATGTCTTGCTTAAAAAATAAAAGCAGCATAGTATAGAATTGAGTGTGCCTCAAAGAGGCATGCTCTTGACACTCCTCAGACTGAAAAATTGTACTCAGTAAGTTATAATAGAAAACTGGTAATGTAAATTAGGATTAACTGTTATGCTCTTGCTTCCATTTACATACTTAAAAAGCACCTTAGACAACATGTTAATGGAAATTCACATGTTTCTGACTAGCTTTATACATCTTAACAAAAACTGAAAATTCAGCAACATAGTTTGTTGGAAGAATGTTTTGTAACTTGTGCCATAAAATCAAACCACAACAAAATTAAACCAGAAGAAAAAAAGGACAGAGACAAACGAAGGATTGCAACTTGTTGGAAGGAGGAAACTTTAACACGGTGTTTTGCATTGAGCAATATCCTGATCCACTCATATGTGGAGTTTAAAAAAATACTGTAAGGGGGAAAAAAAGTACATTATGTGCAAGCACATAAAACTGGTTGCTTACTCCTACAATTGCTTAATAAGGCAAATCATAGTTCTGATATGAGAGTAAAACTGAACAGATCTAGTCTCATGGTTCTGTAAAACAGGAACATGGTCCCCATGACGAAGGTAAGATAAATATTAATAATATTAATATCTTCTAATAACTGGTTAGAGTGAATCAAAGTTTTTTGGTTCACCAATAGACGGTTCCGTTTCTGTTTCGGCTGAGAGTTGCTTGAGCCACTGTTGCACCTGGGTGGGATGCTTCTTTTTGTGTGTTTTATTTTCTATTTTTAAGTCCTGAGAAGAGAAAAAATTTAATTAAAGAATGAGGGCAGACAAAACTTGTCAGATATTTCTCTGATAAGAGTACTCCTGCACCAAAATTTAAAAAAAAAAAAAAAACTTACATTGGATTCAACAGTTCCAGTTGAGCCATTCATGTGCTGGTGCTGAGGGGTCACAAATTCTGAAGTAGATTCATCAACTTCACTAGAATTTTCGGATGGGCCCGGTGAATTTTGGGGCAAAGTGATATGAGTAAAACGAATAACAGTCTCATTAACAGGAGACATTGATGACCCCATTGGGACAGGCTTGAACATAGACATGTGATCCTGATTGGCGTCTTGGTAATCTTCCACTCTAAAATGGTATTAGAGAAAAATGTTATGCATTTTAAATTAAAAATTTGCAGCAGCAAGATTTTAAAAATTGTATTTGTAAAGTACCTTTGAAGAAAAGAACCGTCTCCATCCAGAACAACAAGACTACCTCCAGTAAGTCCAACTGTTCCAACATTGGAGATTAATTCCAAAATCGTCTTTTCCTGGTCTAGTTGAACAGATACATGAGGGACCCTTTCGGACCTAGGAAAAAATGGATCACAATTGGAGTTAGTGGGGGAGCATGTGAATGAGTCTGAATACAAAGAGCCTACTTACACAGCACTTTCTGGCTTGGACTGAACTAGACCCAATTGCTGGCTATGAGCCACATCTATCTGTCGAAGCAACTGCTTTTCTCGAGAATGTACTGCTTCCACAATCTTGGCAAACATTGATCTAACATCTGTTTGAGCCTGAAAAAAACAAACAAAAAATAACTAAATAATGCAAATAAAAGAAACAATAAAGCGTATTGTGTTTGTTTCCATTTACCTGAAGTGTCATTGCTTCTAGATACTGGCATGTCTGAGCAAGCGTTTCTGCATCAGGTGACGAAGCTGATCCCTCGTTCTTTTCCTTCATTGTTAGAGGACTTAGGAAAAACGACACCTTGCGACAAAATCACACATAAACTATGATGTTTATTGTAAAATGAGTATCACGGTGTATTGGGTCATTTACTTCCATAATGATTTTTTAGTGTAGTGAGAAATGATTAGAACAAGAAAATAAGTATGAGGAGGATCTACATAGAAGTTCAAACTATTATAGCTTAGTTGCTTTATTTTACACAAAGGTAAGAAATACTTTATGAACTTTCAAGAAAACATGTCATGACCCAGTACAAAGGGAGAGGCAGAAAAATCAAATCAAAGCTGTATCAAGTAAACCCCAACAAGATCAGAGCATTGGGAAGTTAATTTTGTTTCTTACCAAATTATGAAGGAATCCTGGAGAGATTTCGAAAGGCAAAACTTGTGTTTCTGTCCTGGTTTCTTTCTGTTTTCAGGTTTTCAGCTGAGTTTCTAGCAGAAGCTGCCACAGCTTGCAGAAGAAGGCGGTGAATGGTGGGAGCCTTCTAGATAAAAGGGTGGGTTGGGCGTTGATAACAACAGCAGAGCAGAAATGTATTTACAGTGAAGTTTTAAAAAAGAAACGCAATGCTTTTGCATTCGTTTGACTTTTGAGGACCTCGGTCTCTTGTTAGGATAATTGTACTGTTTTCCTAACCTAATCAAAATGTATCCAAATCACAGTGGAGACATAGTCCACCTAAATGTTGGAGGGACGAGGTTAGTAATACAAATATTCAACTGTCATTTAGCATGGGAAAGTATGGTTTCAATTATTTATTTCTGATTAATTTATTTTATTTCCTCAGGTTCTCCACTTCTCGTCAAACACTAAGTTGGATTCCTGATTCATTTTTTACCGCTCTATTGAGTGGCCGTATTTCAAGCCTGAAAGATGAAACAGGTGCAATATTTATCGACAGAGATCCTAAAGTCTTTGCTCTTATTTTAAATTATTTGAGGACAAAGGATATTGAGCTCAAAAGTGTCGATATTAGAGCCCTTCGACATGAAGCTGAATATTATGGAATCACACCTTTGGTGAAGAGACTTGTTCTTTGCCAGGATTTGACTCAGTCATCATGTGGAGACGTCCTGTTTTATGGATATTTACCACCACCTTGTTAGTATTAAATTTAAATTTTACATCGAAGAGGCATTGAAATACTCAGTCTACAATATTTCTTTTATCTTTTTTAACTCAGGTGTACCGCTTCAGGAGCCAAGTTGTTCAGGTTCTGCTTTGAGTGAAAATTCTGCATTGGGCATTCGCTCAGGAAATTCAGTTCCCATGTCCTCTGCGGGATCATCAAATGCTGCTCCATCCATCTCAGCCTCATCTGGGCACCATCCATCGTTGAATCCACTTTCTGTAGCTCAGCAACCCACATCTGCATCAGTACCAAGCTCCTCTGGCAATACATCTGCTGGAGGAAATTCTCTTTGTTCTGTGGCTGGCTGTGGACTGAATAGTTCTGGGAGTAATGCTTCTGGGTCATCCAATGTTTCAACTGGGACCAATTCAGTCAGCAACTCCCAACCTGTTTTTGGGCCCTCTCTTACACACCAGGCTGGCCCGAGTAATATGCCTGGGTAAGACTATTTCCATCAAATCTTCCTCATTATATTTTTTTTATCTTATGCTTGCAATGTTTGTAATGATTATTTTTCTCATTCAAGGTATTCATGTAATCCACATGTTCATTCAACAACACGATCTGGAGCTGCTGTTGCAACGGCTCATTCTCGAAACTCATCACTTGATCTCCGAGTCTCATCTAATGGCAGTGGTGGTTCTGGGACCAATGGGGCCGCTATAGGGTCTCGCTCATCAAATGATCTCCGAAATATTACAACCAGAGCAGCTGCCAGTTGTGCCGTCAATGGTCATTCTAGAGCTGCTTCTCTTGACCTCAGACATTCTAGAAATTCTTCAGCTGACTTTAACAAACTGTTAAGAAATGATGTGGCTTTGGTTTTTGGGGGGCACCACCAAGGTAAGACATGTATCCAATTTAAAAACCTAAATTTTGGCAAGGTTGCTTTTGTTGTAACTTTTTTTTTTACACATTTTATCCATGTGTTTAGGATCAAGCTGGGCTGACCCACTTCGTGTACAGATAATTAAAGCTCATCACAACTGGATTGTGGTGGCATATGCCCATTTTGTATCCTGTTACAGGTAAGTGCAGGTGTTTTTTAAGCTAGATTTCTATGTTCATCTTTCATTCATTTGGTTTCATTTCCTTTGCCTCAGGCTTAAGGATTCCAGTAGCTGGCAGCATGTCTTCACCAGCCCTCACATTGAAAATTCCATTGAACGGATTGCTATTAATGCAAAGCTAAGCCAAGGTGGTGGAAGTGGGGGAGGTGGGGAGGCTAACTGCAAGATGGTTGCCATTTCATATGGCAGTCAAGTTCGGTTGTGGGGAGTATCAGAGTGTGGGGCAAGGACAAATATTGGTAACATCTTTTGCTTATTATAACTAATTTTCTTCTTTAGCTGTAGGTTTTTAAATTCCCTGTTTCATACAAACTTCTGTTTTTTAGGTACTTTCAATCTGCATGTCCGTGTAGAATATCTGTTCTTCATTGGCAGTACATTGGTTGCACTCTCACCAACTGGAAAAATAGGAGTATGGCATGCCATGACACAGCATTGGCAGATCCAGGATGTAGTTCCTATCTCATCATTTGACACAGCTGGATCATTCTTACTTCTGGGGTGTAACAATGGTTCAATTTATTACATTGGTAATTTCTGCTCGACTGAGGTATTTACTATTCTGAGATTCAGCTGTATTGGATTGTGATCTTCTCCCTTTCTTATGCCTATAGATATGCAGAAGTTCCCTCTTCGTATGAAGGACAATGATCTCTTGGTCACGGAGCTCTATAAAGATCCTGGCAATGACCCAATAACAGCCATATCTGTGTACCTTACACCAAAGACTAGTGAGAGACCTCTTTATCCTAATGCAAGTAGAAGTTTCAATACAAGTGAATAAATCTGAAATAATATTATTTGCTTTCAGGTTTATGTGGTAACTGGATTGAAATTGCTTATGGCACAAGTGCCGGAACAGTTAGGGTCATTGTGCAGCATCCTGAAACTGCTGGCCATGGCCCTCAACTTTTCCAAACATTTACTGTGCACCAAAGCCCTGTAACAAAGGTAGGGAGGTGCCAGACTTTAACTTAATATCATTTCTGAACAATAGCATGAGCAGTAATTGTTGGGTTTCTATTGATAGGTGATGCTGTCAGAAAAATTCTTGGTTTCGGTGTGCAGTGAATACAACCATGTGCGCACTTGGAGTGTCACTCGATTTAGGGGGATGATCTCAACTCAACCTGGCTCCACCCCCGTTGCTTCTTTCAAAATAGTTTCATTGGAAGAAGTAGAGCCCTATGTGAGCTATGCTGCTGGTAATGACTGTGGTCCGTTTGGGGAGCAAGATGATGTGCAGGTCTTCATTCAGAAGGTGGTGCCAGATACACCAGAACTTTTTGTTCGCCTTGCATCCAATGGAAAGAGGTACCAATCTCATTCTCTTGTGCACTCATTTTCCACCTTAGTAGAGCCCGCTTTTAAATTTTCTAATTTTTTCATATTTTAATTTTAGAGTTTGTGTCATACGCTCTGTGGATGGCACAACCATCACATCCTTCTGTGTCCATGAATGCGAGGGATCCAGTCGCATGGGTTCTCGGCCAAGACGATTCATTTTCACTGGTCACAGCAATGGTGCTATTCAGATGTGGGACTTAACTACAGCTCTGGACCTTGCAGCCAAAGATGCACCTGGTAAGTTACTTTGATGCATTCATGTCAGTAGACATGTAGAAGATTCAAAATATTCAACAGTCAAGTACAATAATGTTTTCCCTGCTTTATAGCAATGCAGACATCTGGAGGACCAACCCCTGAGGAGCTGCTGAAACTTCTAGACCAATGTGACCTCAGCAACAGTCACAGCTCTACCCCTTGCTTGTCCCCCTGCCCTTCATTAGCTAACCATCCAGCCGCTAGGTTGAAAGCTTCTAATGTAGCATTTCTCAACCAGCAGCAGCAGCAACAGGTTGAAGCTCTGGAAGCCCAAATTCGTGATAAAGACCGTTTAGAGAGGGTGGCTGCTGCTAGTGCAGATGTTCCTCACAAAGCAATCCCATCTGTGAGCAACCCACCTCCCCCAACTTCATCCTGAAGCAGATTTTTGTTTTATAATGAACCTTTTGGTGCCACTTTACATTGGTACTTTGTTGTTGTTTTCTATCCCATTTTTAGTTATTATTTCATATTAAACTTAATGAATTGTGTTGCAACCTTCTTTATTCTGCATTAATGAAATTTGTTAGAGATTTATTATTTAATTTATCTCAGAGACTTATGGAAGTAGCCGATAAACTTTACGGTATGCCTATTTCTTACCTTGTACATTCCTGTTAGACTGCACAAATTTGCCAGGTTTTGTCCTTATGATTGTTGTATACCTTCTGGTTATTTATTTTACTTTTAGATTATTTTTTATTTCTGTTACTTTCTCTCAAAAGTGTTATTTTTTAAAATTGTTTGATGTTTGTTGAACGTTAAGATCAATAATTTCTAGACTACAGTCCCATCCGGATTTTCACTCAAAATGTTTTGATGGATGGACTTGCAGTCATGCATGGTTTAGACCACAATTTTATGTAATTCTCATGTTTGAGATGTGATAAATCAAATATTATCTTACTTGGTGGAGTAATCATTGTGACTAGAATAGTTAGTTTCTCTTCTGTTTAGTTGTGCAGTGTGTGACATATTTGCTGTCATTCCCCAGTATTAGATGAGTCTGCATGTTTATAGGCCTGCTGGCCAAACATGTAGTAATTACATCAAATAAAGTTGTTTGCATAAATAAAACTCTTGTTGCTTGTATCAACCACCACCAAAGAGTGCATAACCGCGGGAAGAAAAAAACCACAAAACAGTACTGCACGGCTGAATGAAGCTACCCAGAAAATGACCAGAGGACAGCTTCCAGGAGACAGTTTTGAAATGAACACATTCAATTAGGGGAGAATGAACTCGCGACGGCCGTTAAAAATAATTGAGGTGCCGGTTGGCACTGCACTGGCACTGCGGCTTCCCTGCCCCGTTTGACTGTTTGACTCGTCAGTGCACGGCGTGGCCGCTTGGCGGGCTTGGCATGGCCTGCCCGTGCCCTACATTCCTCCACACCGTGCGACGCAGTGCGACGCGACAACCCACCCCCTCCCCTCCCCGGCCACTTTCTTTATTCGCAGTCGCTCGTATTGCTCGCCGTAATTACAGAGCAGCGAGGCTGTTGCTTCGCCGCTGCCGCGCCTCGGCCTTGCCAGACTTGGGGGTGCCGCGAGTTCCAAACAGGGACCAGAAACGTCCCTCGGGGTCGGGGAAGGGAAGGGACACCAGACCGACAAAGACATCTCTGCCAACCGCTGCCAGGCCAGTGCGACTGGGACCTGTAACGCCGCCGTTGGCGCAAAAGAGGCGAGCGAGGGGGGGGGGAGAGAGAGAGAGAGAGAGAGAGAGAGAGAGAGAGAGAGAGAGAGAGAGAGAGAGAGAGAGAGAGAGAGAGAGAGAGAGAGAAGGGGGCGTAGTCAAGAGGGGACGCTGCGTCGGCCCAAGCGTCTTCGCTTATCAACCAACAAGTGTCCTCGAGGACGTAGGAGGCAGGGGAAACCTTCCGCCCTCTGCTGGTACTTGTTGAAGGCATGGCCCGGCATGGCCGCCAGCATCCCTGAGGTGGGGCTTATTATGTTCATCCCCGTTCTCGTTCATGTCCAAGCTAGCCGACTTCGGACCGTCCGTAAGCACCTCACGAATGGGCTTACAAGGCCTGAGGGTTCACCGGGTTCGTTATTTTTCCTCCGCCTCATGGGACGGCGGCTATCTCAAAACGACGTCTTAGCCGCGCTACTTTTAAAAAACAACAACAAGAAACGACACCAACAACGTGAAAAAGCACCGCGAGGGGTCGCGCTGTAATGAGAGCGAAAGCAAAGGGCAAGTCAATAAGGAAGTCAACTGTTGACGGACCAAGTGGGATAATTACATGTGGCTGATGCTGTTGACAATGCGAGTGGGGAGTGGGGTCGGGCCGCACTTTCCCCCAGCGGTGCTGCCCTCGCGCTGATGCAGCCCAGCCTCACTGCGGATCGTTTCGTCGCTCTGTCTCGCTCGCACTCGCGGGGCGGTCCGCAGGTCCGTGGGGGCGCGAGAGAGACAGAGCGACGGGGCGCTGTTCGGATTCGGCCTGCCGGTGCTCTCTTCGCGCCACCGCTGCCTCCGCCACTGCGCTGCCGCCACTGCCTTCCCTTCCGTCTCGCGACCTCGCGGCGCGGCGCCTTTGTCCGGCAGCAGCGGCACTTCCGGTCCATTATCCGTCACTCCCGTTTCTCGTTTTCTTATCCGTCGCCAAGGCGGGGCGGGGCGGGGCGGGGCGGCGGGCGGGGCGGGGCGGGGCGGGGCGGGGCGGGGCGGGATCTAGAGCCGCGGTGCTCGCAAATGTATCGAAAGTGGGCGTTGTGGGGCGGTTAAAGGGGCGTGTCGGAAGGGGGGGGGGGCACTGGATCCGATAGAGCATTGTCCAGCTCACGCACTTCCCCGTCTTGCCGTTCCCACCTTACGCAGTCCGCAGCGCGCGGCGAGCGCAACGTCTTTCTGCCTAATTTGCTTCGTCTTTGCTCGTTGGTCTTTCACCGGCTCGGCTCGCCCGATCTGACTCGGCGACGACGGGCGTTGCCCTTTATATTTCTCGACGCAGACCGTTGGGATTTGACTCGGATTTGGCTTTGTCAGGTGGGGAGTCTCGCAGTGCACCAGCTCGCCGCACTCATTGTGGAAAGCCATCCGAGGCGGTTGGAGAGAGAATGAGAGACCAAACGAGGGGCGGCCGGGAGTCGAGTCGTGTCAGTTGTGAAATTTTAGCTGCCGGCTCGCGGAATGGAGGAATGGCGCTGCCGCCCGTGTCGCTGGCGGTTGGTTACAGCGGTGCTCGACAAGTACCTCGAGTACGTCGCTGCAGGTGCTTTACCAGTGCAGTTGCAGGCGCGGCAGGGCGGGACTGCCACCCTCCTGGAGGACGCCCTCGGCGCCGTCGGCGTGGCGGGGCGGGGCGTGGCGGGGCCCTGGAGGGAGTACCGGCCGCCAGGCGCGGCAGACTCCGCCCAGCGCGCGGCGCGGCGCCCCATTGGCTGGGACGCGGCTCGGAGGCCCCGTGGGGGGAGTGGCGGCGCTCGGCGGCGCGGTGGAGCCCCTCACCGCACCTTGCAGCCCTCGAGGGCGGCGCCGCGGCCACAGAGTTAAAATTTGGACGGGACTTAATTCTTTCGGGCCTTTGGTTGTTCCGGGTCGCATCCTCCACCCCCATCCTCCCCGTCGCGGCCCTGGAGGCAACCCTCCACACGCTCCGCTTCGGCTGGCCGCGGTGCGCGGTGCCGACGGCGGGGGTCGGCGCGCCGGCCTCCAGGTCCAGGAGAGCACTTGTACGTGCTAAATATTTGAGCAAGAGGACCATTGTCCGGGGCCACTCCAGCTGCACGCGTGCTGCACACATGTCCTGGCCCACGACGTGCTTCACGTGCTTCAGGCATCGAGAGCCCTTCAACTCCCCCTCCACCACTGTCGCTGCCGGCGCGGTGCGGCGCGGCCCCCGCACACCTTCTGCCGCGCCTCCAGCAGCTGCAGCCTCCAGCCTCTCGATCTCGATGATCTCGAAAGGTGGGGGCCGGCCGGCTCGTGCTGCGCTCGTGCGTCCCAAGCAGTCCCAAGAAACACGCAACGGCCTTCCAACGAGTCAAGCTAAACGGGTGTCGCCTCGTGATTACAAATCTTACCCTTATCTACCTCTCCTGGCGTTGCGCCTTTACACAGTGTCGTAGGAACTCCAGGAACCTTGCCGCTTGCGCCCCACACAGTCCGTTGCCCTGGACCAGTGACGTTCGACAGTCGCCACCTTCCACACAGTGTGCCACACACCGCTCCACGTGAGAACGACGTCGCGCTCACGCCTCGAACACAAAAGCTTCACCGGCACGGATACACATCCAAACTCGATTCAAATTCGTTGCCGCTCGTTTCGCAAGTGTCGCTCATTCATCACGGGCCGCGGGGCCGCGGGTATGAGGCAACACCGCGAATTTCGGCCTGCAGACCCATTTCCCGAGCGGGAGGTGTCTCTCTCGCACTCGTATAGCATGTTGGCAGCATGTTGGCAGCGTGTTGGCACGCGCGACGGTTGCCTCCCTGCCGGCACGGCCGCCCCTCTGCCTTGGCCTCGGCCGCCCGGTGGACGTCAGTGACGTGGACGTGGACCCCGTGCTGCTGCTCAAGTGGCCATGAAGACCGTCATGTCGATACGCGGCACGCCGTTTTCGCCCCCATTTCCATGTTGCGCAAGGAATTCCCTTTCGGGGGGCACTCGACAGCACGCGCGGTACGCGGTACGGAGTACAGTGTAGGCACACTCTGAACTGGGCCGCTGGTAGGCCTGCCCGCCGCGGAATGGCTTGATGGCTCGGTGGGGGGCACCCAGCTTCAACGTTTGCCGTGCAACGGTCCTGCCGAGGCTCGGCGACAAACAAGGCCCTCCCGCTAAAAAGTAACTTTTCCTTCGCTTCGGCGTAGGTACACCACGAAACTCCGCCACTGTGTGACCTCCAGAAGGGGGTGCACCGCCGTCGGAGGAACCTGGTCCCGTTCCGCCTTTCGCCCGACTGCAGTCTGCAGCTCGGAGGCAAGCCTGGAGGCGTTATTGCACGGTGGTGGCCTGGCGGGGCGGAGGGCCCAGCGGGGAGTTCGGCGGGCACGGCGGGCACGGCGGGCACGGAGCAAACAACGAAAAACCTCCCCCACCCCCTCGGCATGTGATTGCAGCAGCCACCCCTTTGGCACGGCCCCGTCGGCCTTGTCGGCGGAAAGGCCTCCCGGTGGCTCCCGGACAAACGGCACCGCGGGCAGCGCGTCGCGGCGCGCACCGGGCACCGCGACACAAAGCCCGGTCGCGGCGGGGACGCCCCAGCCGCGGGCAGCGCGGCCCGGCACGGCCAGCGCATGGGGGCGCGGCAGCGCGGCGGCAGCGCGGACTCGCGGGGGGTCGGAGTAAAATAGTTTTTCGTGTGTAATGTGGGGGGCAAATAGGGAGTCAAGTTGAGCAAAAGCGGTACAGCGTACGGCGCGGAAAACAATTATTACTGGTCGCGACACGACGGCGCGGTGCTGCGCGGCGCGGCGCGGCTTTCATGCAGTCGGTGTTGTGCTGCCCCGCCCGGCCCCGCCGCTTTGTGATGCGCGGGGGGTGGCCTCTCTCTCGTGCCTCCCAACGAAATCGCCCAACTGTTTGGAAAAACCTTCACCGCGGCGGCTCATGAGCCCGGCTCCGCGCTCCGCATCTGCTGCTTTTCGTATTTTGATTTTTCTTCATTTCCCCCTTCCTTTTCCCCTCTTTCCGCGGTCGTCTTGGGAACGCAGCACCTGGCCGTCGTGGGCGTGCAGGCGTTGCAGCGCGGCGGCCCGGCCGAGCCCCAGCCGAGGGCCCGGCGGGGCTTCGTGATGTGTTTATTAGAACTCGGCTGGTCGGGCTTAATTTGAGTCCGTGTTGTTGTTCCACCAGGTGGAAACAGAAACCCTGTCGTCATTTTTCTGCGAGACGAGCAGGGCGTGCAGGGCGAGCTCGGCGTTGGGGTCGGCGGCAACTCCTCGCGCGCCCCGGCGAGGCGCAAGCGCAAGCAGCAGACTGATTCCGAGAGTCGTTCTCGTCGCTCTGTCCCTCTCGCACTCATAGGGCGTCCCGTGTAGGCGCGAGAGAGGCAGAGCGACGGAAACGACTCTCGGCATCAGTCTGCAGGCAGTGCCATTCCATTCAAGTCCCGAAGGCTGAA